GCGGGCGTGCTGCCGGGTTGGTCCTGCAGCCCCGAGGGGCAGCGCTACGGGACCAACTGGGCAGTACCCCAGCTGCTCTGTCCCAGGCATCCTCGATTCAGCTGCTGCTGAAACTGACCAGCAGCGGCTGAATCAGGGACTCCTGGGGGTCGTAAAGGGGGGGCTATGAGGGGTCTGGGGTGGCATCCCCTCCCACCCCACTCCAGACCCCTCATAGCCCCCCTTCTGATAGTCCAGCATATCTGATAATCCGGCACCCCCTGGGTCCTAAAGGTGCCGGATTATCGGAAGTTTACTGTATATATAAAAAGCTTCCCTTCCCATGACTATAATCAGGGACTCCTGGGGGTCGTAAAGGGGGGGCTATGAGGGGTCTGGGGTGGCATCCCCTCCCACCCCACTCCAGACCCCTCATAGCCCCCCTTCTGATAGTCCAGCATATCTGATAATCCGGCACCCCCTGGGTCCTAAAGGTGCCGGATTATCGGAAGTTTACTGTATATATAAAAAGCTTCCCTTCCCATGACTATCATGTAGATCTTGATTCCTAAACCTTCAGGGTGTGAGCACAAGGTTACTACAGGTTGTACTTCCCTTAACTGGGATCAGGCAACATCCGTGGTCTGACATGGACCATGGATGTTCCTGGACCACAGAGCCCAGGAACAGGGGAGTCTAGCAGTGGGGCAGGAGCATTGTAGTGGGTACTGGCAACCCAGTGTTGGGATGGGAGGGGTGGAGAACGGGAAGCACAGTGGGGAGTTCTAGTCCCAGCAGCACCCATGGAGCTTCAAGCCCCAGGCAGCAGCCAAGGAGCTCTGGCTCTGGCCGCGAAGGTCTGGCCCAGACCCTCTGCCCCAGCCCTGGAGCCTAGCTGCAGAGCCAGGCAACTGTGGAGCTGTGCCCTGGCTGCAGAGCTCCGACCATGGTGCTGCACTCAGGCAGTAGTGGGGCCGGCAGCATCTAGAGAGCCCTGAGGGGCTGAGACAGCAGTGGGGACAGGCTGAAGCTTTAACCTGGTGGCAGTATGGGCCAGGAGGGGAGAGACCACCCCTGGTCTGGCAAATCCCCTTGTTCAGGACCAGTCAGGTCCCCAGGGTGCCAGACCAGTGAGGTCCAACCTATAGTTGGTTCACAGACAGTCTCATTATTGAAGAGAAGGAAATCCTTTCCCCCTTTCCCTGAGTCACTTGTTTTAACACTGGTATATAAATCTCATTTGCACTTATCTCAATGTTAATGCAGCTCAGCAACATTTGCTAATGATGGCTTTTTCACTCTAGATTTAAAAGCAAATCCTGTCCTTTCTTAGAAACCAGCTGTAATCCCATTAAGGTTGTCCCAAAGCATTTAGATTGGGATTTTTAATTGGGCCTAAGAAAGCCATGGCCTAACACCCATTGACCCAGATGGAGATAGGCTTTTAACTCCCTCAGCCCCACTTTGGGGATCCCAACCTTAAGTGTTTCCACAAAGGTCTCCCTGAAATTTTAAAAAAATTACATTAACTTTTAGGCATTTTTGACATATCATCTTAAGCAAGATAGAATGATAAATACACCTGTATAAAATTCTAGTTTTTAGATACTTAAAATATGCATTATTCCAATCCTAAATTTTATTTTTTTAAAACTACTGATGATACATAATTCATGAATATGTACAATGTACTGTCCAAATACCCGGATTTATACACAGGAGTGCATGTCAGCCAAGGAAAGCTACTCATCATGGAAAGATGGGATTCTTCCTTCTACTCCTTCCCTAATTGAGACTGAAGATTCCCAGTTTCCTTCCCTTATGCTAGTGATGTGAAAAATAAGGATCCTGCCAGTGCTTCTGAATGATCTTTCTTCATTTGAATACAGAAAGTAGGGGTTGGGAATAATGATGCTCACCTCCTTTTTAAAGCACTTTGAGCTCCATTAGTGAAAAATGCTATACTACTAACCCCAGGATTTTTTGTAGCACCTACAGCAGGGGTGGCCAACCCATTAAATGAAGAGAGCCGAAACAACGGCGGAAAAAAATGCAAAGAGCCGCACCAGAATATTTTGGGGTCGGGGGTGGGGGTGGGAGCAATTTTTGTTGAGGAGGTAGAACTCCCCACCAGCCCCCCAGAGTCCACACTGCTATTGCATTCTTTCATCAGAAAGTTGAAAGAATGGAGGGGGTTTTCCGACAGAGGTAAACATTCTATGAAGAAGAAACCACCTTTATTCCAAATGAGATCTTTCGGAAAAAGGCACATGTGGACATAGAGTGCGCTTTCTGGAAAGAGAGAGGCCTCTAGGAAAAAGCACAGGTGCCCTGGTGGCCACTCCGTCCCTAGTAATCGTAAGTGAAATGCGAGATAGCATCCAAATTGACTGGAAGCTATCTTTCAAAACAGCAGATGGCTTTATCTCTGCACTTTTGCTGTGGAGACACTCTCTTTCGAAAAATGTTTTTCTGGAAGATCTCTTCTGGAAAAACTTCTTCTGAAAGAAGTTTGCAGTCTAGATGTAGCCTAAGGTAACACAGGAAAGCAGAAGATGACAAAGAAGAACCAAGAACTGCTAAAACGACTTCTCAGAAATAATGTTCTGCAATATATTAGTGAAGGGAGAGCTATTTTGTAGTAAACAGGGGGACTTGACAGAGAGAACATCAGGATCAGTCCTTAGATTTGCTACTTGATGACAAATGGATGCTGTCCATGCTAGTAATATGACTGCCTTTTCCCTATGGACAGTGAAAAAGAAGCAGAACTCTAAGGCAGCTTGTTGCTTGAAAATACCCTCTGTGCTTTGATTCATGCTATGATTTAGTGCCTGATTTCAGTTCAATCTAATTATAACACTTCTTCAGCAGCATTTATGGGCCAGATTCAATAGTCTTCACATAAGAAAACTTCCTTTGTAGTCGTCAGGAGTTTTGCTTGCAGCCAAGGACTGCAAGATGGGCTTTCTGTGAGTATACAGGCAGGGATGATCCTGGTACCTATATAGAAATAAAACTAATAAATAATTTGCTTCATATGATATGTCCAATATGTATAATAAACATTACCAATGCCCAGCTTAGTCCCTCCTCACAACCAACATTTATATATTTTTCTTTTCAAGTCTGTATTTTCATGTAAAATGTGGGGCTAGTTTGTGGTAGCTGGGCAGATCAGCACTTTCATTGTTCTGCCAAACAAGCATTCAGAAGCTCATCAAAACCTGGGTCACTAGAGGCCAAGAACACCAAAGAGGGGTTGTAATCTGTGTCTGGGAAAGTTGCCAACCCTACCTCTTACAAGAGCTCTGGCTCTTTGATTTGGAGGAGGGGGAAGAGTCCCTGTATCATTCTCCTAAGCAAGCAGGACATCAGTTGTTTCAATGGCATCCAAATGAAGGTGGGAGATAAAATGGTGAGCAGTTAGGAAATTAGTGGGAAGGCCTGAGAAAAAAAAAATAGACAAAGAAATCTTCAGAATTGAAGAAAGAACATGCTAGAGCTAATTACCACTCACTGCTACTAAGAGAAAACTCCTCACATGAAGCTCTGATTATGCTTCAGAATTAGCATGATGTAAACCAGACAGTTGCTTATCTAATGAGTGGCAGCACATGGTTTGCATTAGGGTGCCTTTTATATGCTTGCCTTTGATGTTTATTAAATGACCTAATTCTGCAAGGTACTGAACTCCTCCTGAGAGAGGTTGCAAGCTCTCCCTTTAAATTGATGGGAGCTCCAGGTCTCAGCATCCTTCAGGATCAGGCCCTAAATCAGCTCTGCTCAAATTCAGTCCTAGCCACAAATATGGCTTGTAGCATCCTAAAATGAGAAATGCAACTTTCCTTGTGCTGTAACAGCACAGTGTTGGGTCAGGTATTATTGCTGAATTCAAACAGGAAGAAATTTGTATACTCTGTCAGGAAGGTACAAGGAAATATGCCCACAAAGCACTAGTTATTTGTATAAAGCCGTGCACATCTGGTAAGATTATCAGTTAGTATTTATTTATAGTACCGTGTTTTATGCATTTACATGTAAATCAGGCTTTTAGCACTGCAAAGTCTGGGCATCTGAATGAAAGGTATCCCCATGAAAGAGAGACTAAAAAAATTCCCATAACTCTGATGAAACTGCCACAATCTTATGCCTTTATCATGTTTAAGCAGCAAAAAGATCAACTCTGATATAGTTGAGAGAGTAATTACTAACACTCAAGAGATTTACTGCTGAGAACATATAGCAGGGGATTCAGAGTAATGTAAAGAGAGGAAGAGGCACTTGCCCATTAACACTGAAGAACAGCTTTTCTATCTAACCAAGCTGTATGCATTATTGAAGAATATAAAATGGGTCCATAATAAATATGAGAGAGAGAGAGAAGCCCTCTTCCACACGCTATTCCAACCCCTGCTGGTTAACCATTCACATCCTTAGGTTAAATCTTATCCTGTTTGCTGGAATGAGAAATCTATTTCTCTACCTAACAACGACGACAACAACCTGGATCCATTTGGGTCCAAAAGGTAACAATTTATTTAAGTTGCAAAATGATCTGTGTCCCACAGACCCAGATGAGCCCACCTTACCCACAGTTTGTTGTCCTTTTCAAGCAGGGACCTTGTTCTAAATTCTGCAATGCTCTGATCCTACTGGACTGACAATACTTTCTGCACTTCCTGGACTGGACTGACAATACTTTCAACCTTGAATCAGGAAAATTTAATTTAACCGATCTTCAGGTAAAAAACAATAGTGACTTGGTTTCAAGTATGACAAAACAGACACTCCACAGTACAAAGGGGCCATAATGTGGGGTGGGGGTAGGGAGGAGGGAGAGTCTAAATGGTCCTTGCAGAATCCCTCCATTGAAGGGAGGTTCTCAATACATTTATACACCCAGCACAGTAGCTCTAGGCTGTCCCCCCACTGCCAGTGGGGAAGGGTGCTGAAAGAAGTGTGATTAGAACACAGTATGACCCATCTATTCTCTGCTGGCAGAACAGGTCATAGAGGACAGTTACCAGCTGGACAATTTAGAGCAGGACTGGGGAAGGGCTAGCATACATTTGTAATGCCAACTCTCTCTAAGAAGTGTATTCTGCAGGGATCCCTTATGGCTTCTTTATACCAACAGGGCAGCATAAAGTGGCCATTCTACAACACAAAATCTTTTCCTCTTCTTCATGAAGCGGAATGTTTTTCAAAAAAGGAAACAGTTAAGGTAGAGTTGAGATTTCCAGTTAAATCAGGACTAAAACACCCCTGCTTCATAGTTCAATTAATATTTCATTTGACATTTGTTACAATTGCACTTTAGAAGACAACTGAATTTTCTAATGTATTTTCTGATTACATACTTCTTTACTTTTAAAAACAGTGTTGCTAGTAGATTATATCCATATCTCCAACCTTGGACTTGTTACATTGCAAATTCTTTGGGGCAACAGAAACTGTGTCATCACATATGTATGCACAATATCTAATGCATTTTGGTTACAGTTGTAATCAATAATAATTATGATAATAATTTGGATCAACAAATGAATTCAAAGTATAAATAACTTCCTGGATCATATCATGTTATTTGTATAGGGCTTGGGGTGGTTTCTTTAAAAGGCATTTAACCCACCTGTTATTTAGTGACTTGATATTGATTGATTAGCTCATCTTGAAACTAGATTAACCTGCATGGATTAACATGCAGCTTTACAGCTGCATGGAATCATGGTTGTCACGACAACGAATAGAAAATGTATCCTGCTAATCCCCTCTCAACAGAGCAATCTCCATACAGCATTAACAGGATTTCTCACCAGCACTGACACACTCAGAATGATTTCATTTCAGATACCTAGATACGTAGAATCTCTAGCTCCCTTGACATCTTAATAAATAGCAGTGTACTTGCACATGCATTGCAATTAACAATCAGTGAGGGGGCCACTGTAAGGAAACAGATCCTTGGTTATTATTTGAAATGTACAGTTACAATTCACTTCCATAAGATTATTCCTGTTTTGAAATAGAGCAGTCAGACGGGCACTTTGTCTTCTTATAAAATAACTAGTAATAAGAAATTATTAGGGCTATCAAATGTTTAAAATAACTTCAATTAATCATAAGATTAAAATAAGTATTATTAATGGAAGTTTTAATTGCACTGTTAAATGAGAATACCAATTATACATATTTTGAATGTTTTTCTACATTTTCAAATGTATTGATTTAAATTACACAGAATACTAAGTGTACAGTGATAATTTTATATTATTATTTCTGATTAACTTTTTTATAGTGCAAATATTTGTAAAAGAGTACTTTTCAGTTCACCTCATATTAATTATATTATAGTACAATCTCTTTATTGAGAGTGCAATTTTCAAAAATGTTTAGCATATTGCAACACTGGCCACAATAGTGCCATGCAAACACCTGTTCTTTCAGGTGACACTCTCAAGAAGAAGCAGGCATTTGTTTTAGCAATTGGCTGAAAAGAAGCACGACTGAGTGGAGTTGCAGGCTGTAAAGATTTACATTTTTTCTGAGTAAACAAATTTTATTACAATTATGTAAAATTGTAATAATAATTCAACATTTGTAAGTTACACTTTCACAATAAAGAGACTGCACTATAGTATTCAGATGAGGTAATTTGAAAAATACTATTTATCTTTTTACAGTGCAAATATTTGTGATCAGAAATAATATAAAGTGAGCATTGTACACTTTGTATTCCGTGTTTTCATTTAAATAAACATTTGAAAATGTAGAAAAACACAAATATTTATAATAAATTTAACATTGGTATTCTATTACTGTTTAACAGTGTGATGAAAACTGTGATTAATCAAGATGTTTTCTTCTTTTTAAAAATTTGTTCTGAATGAATTGCTTGAGTTAATTGATTAACTGACAGTCCTAAAAATAATACTATGCTCCTGACATAAATAAGGAAAGAAGAGCACCTTGATAGTTCAGACAAGGAGAAAGGTGTATCTATTTTCCACTCAGAGAACGAAGTTTCAACAATCAGGCTTCACTGAAGGTAAGGAATGTCTTGTTCATATGCCATAGGTAGGGCATCAGGATGCTGGGTTCTATTCCCAGTTCCACCAAACTGACTCCCAGGAGAACTTTAATTTAATCTTTATCAATTAAAATTCTTATATTTAAGAGATCACATTTGTTCAGGAAAATTCATATTTATTTTTCACAAGGGTGTCAAGAAGCTGAATTCATTAAAGTCTGAACAGTGCTTTGAAATAATAAAGCATTACATAAGCACTAAGGAATAATCTGCCCCTACACATTGAAAATCCACATAAGGAATGAGGAATTGTAGGTGTCGCTGAACAGAATTTCTACAAAATCATTCCATTGTTGGAGGCAAGCCAAGGATATGGTTTAGGTTCCCTCTAAAAATTGTGATGCTACCACATTAAGTGGATGAATTCATACTTGATGTCATTTAACTGCTATTTAATTTAACCTCTAATGTAATATAAGCCATCAAGTGCCCGCGATGTCTCTCTGCCATGTATATCAGCTAATATAAGAGACAGTCTCTTCCACAGAGGATAAATGGACACAAATAAGACATCAGGAATACAGGGAGTCTCCACTATAAGTTGCCCCGGTCGGCATACGTCCGTTGCACATTAAAGTCATTGACACATGTTATTTTCTTGTAATTAACTGCACGTATTAGATGCTGCCATATACATCAATTACACTATACACAATATCAATAATGCCCCAGTAAAGCACAGCATCTAACCATGTGCTTAAAGTTTAAGGATGTTGTTAGTCCTATTAAAATGCATGGAACTATTCACTACTTTAAAGCTAAGCATGTGCATAGGTGTTTTGATGGCTGGGGTCCTAAACACATAACCTGGAAGTCCTATTATGTCTCATTTACACCATTCTTACTCCAATAACTTGATCATAAATCAGAAGTAACTGCACTGAAATCAATCAACATAAGCAAGGTAAGAACTGAATTGCAAAAAATTATTTCAGTTTTAATAATTGGTGGCATTGTCCTTTTATCTTCATTTTTCAAAGAAAGATTTTTTTTTTTCAAAACATCAGAACACTGTACTTGCATGACAAATCCTGAATTTCTGTCATCTCTCTGGAATATTACATGATAGATAAAAGATGACTCCCCCCTCCCCATATGAACAGCAGTAAAAGCAAGGTATAAGCAACGATCAAAGAAAGCTTCTTAGATGTCTCTTCAACAGTGACAACTGCAAATAAAGTGATACAATGAATGAGACTGGCTAATCTCAAATTGTTCTGTCACTCAGAAAATGTCAAGTGAAAGAAAGCAGAAAGGGAACTGTGGTGCTGTAAAAAGACACAAGCAGAGACAATATGACCGGTAGAAATGGATAAATGTAGATACAAATAGATAATGTAAATATTACGATATACACTGTAATACAGAGGAAACATATCTGTCACATTACAGAAGCAAAAGAGGCAAATCTTGTCAAGGGCACAATTATTCTACTTTGTTTCCAGGGGCCAAAGCTCAATAATTCTATCATTGGATATGTCTACACTGCACACTTATTTCAAAATAAGCTATTCCGGAAGAAATACTCCAAAATATTTTATTTTGAAATAACACATATATACTACAGGGAAGCCTCAAAATTAGTCCAAGGCAGACTTCCCTAATGTGGACATGCTACCTTGATTTACAGCCCCAGAAGGCAATGCGGAATAATTACTTTGAATGACCCTGGGGAGGAGCTATTTCGAAATAGCAGCAGTGGAGCATCCACACTACAGCTATTCCAAAATAGCTATTTCAGAAATAGGCGTTATTCCTCATAGAATAAGGTTTACAGAAGTTGGAATAAGACATCTGTTATTTTGAATTTATTGCAAAATAACAGAATTGTGGTAAAGATGCCCACGTTGTTATTTTGGAAATAATGCTGCTGTGTAGATACACTCTCAGATATAAAGGAATGTTATGCCAGAATAGTTGGATTGTAGACATGTTTATTATAGAGTCCAACAGAATAGTACTGGTTTCTAAAGTTAAGCACACCATGTGGGACTATGTTGTATAGATTTATTAAAGTACACATGGGCAGATTCTTTGCAGCAGTTTTTTAAAAATTCACATTGAGCACTGGGCAAAGGGAAAGACATTTTTTTCAGGTTGTTTTAGACAACATTTACTTTTGATCCTACTCCTCAGCTAACAAGGAGGATTTATAGCACAACTTCAGAGTTGTGTAAGAAAAATCTGCGAACTCAAGATTGCCACCTTATTTCACAAACTAGTCCCATTTAATCATCAGTACTACTTTTGGAGTAAGATACTAGTTTTACGTGAGTCATCAAAATTTTGACAAAATTATTAAGTACCCTTTAAAAAATGTTTTACACCAGATCTTTTTTTCATGACAACTACAAAAACAATAAAGTCTTCAATTGCACAGACAAAGGGAACTTGATCCAATGCCTATTGAAGTGAATGGGAATCTTTCCAGACATTTCAAGCCATTTTGGATTCACCTACTCAGTTATTTTATGCAACAAAGAAAATTAAAAAACATAGTGGGAAGGACTACTATTATATACAAAAATACTACATTAGATCATTAAAGAGGCATGATTAAGTACCCTAAAGCCACTGTCTCCCATATGCATTACAGTACAACCTTTAATTAAATATACTGCATTACAGACAATATATAGTGCACTTTTTCCTCCAATTGTAGATTTGTCACATATTACCTTGTAATTGTTTTTCGTTTTTAATTAAACTTAATTCTTATAATTCAGCTCTATGGCACTACTGACTTAAACCTTGTAAGAGATATTTTTTCCTATTTCTATGGTATTTACATTAATGTTTTCATGTATTGTAGCCAGGATTTTCAAAACGAACTCCACTGGGTCAGTGAATATTGAAAATAATGTAGGTAAAAAACCACAATCTGAAGCAGTGCACTGGAACAGTCTGTCCCACACAACTTGAGAAAGCCCTTTTCTTGTGTATTTAAGGAACTTTATGCTTTTGGCAGTAAGGAACAGAGCAAGAATTCATCCAGTGACCCTTATATGGTGTACAGAAGCCTTCCCTCAATCAATTCTCACCTTGTCAGTGCCTTAGGAACCATCACAATGATGATGAGATAAAATGAGGAGACTGCAGGAATGGGGAGGCTCTTTCAAGAAAGTGCCTATCCAGTAGTGTATTTAAGGAACTTTATGCTTTTGGCAGTAAGGAACAGAGCAAGAATTCATCCAGTGACCCTTATATGGTGTACAGAAGCCTTCCCTCAATCAATTCTCACCTTGTCAGTGCCTTAGGAACCATCACAATGATGATGAGATAAAATGAGGAGACTGCAGGAATGGGGAGGCTCTTTCAAGAAAGTGCCTATCCAGTAGAGCTCCA